AAACCATATAGATGTAACGTGCATCGATCCGTTCTGGTAAATACGTTTATAGGTGTCAGAGCTTAGAAAATTGTACCATAACATATATTATTATCTTTTTTAGTATTCGCGAGTACCAGCGTGCACGGGGCCACGTGACTCGCATTGTAATATTATTATTATCATAATATATTGTACAGACTTATAGTGTATATTATTGTATAAAAGACATATTCAATTGATCGTCTGTTCGATCCTCACGTGTTTTGCATATACCTACATAATGTTTTATTATAATATTATATATTTTATTAATCCACCAAGCTGCGCCTGTGATCTCTGTTTTTAGACGATTTTCGTAGGAAAAGCCTAACAGTGTAATGTACCTTTATGTCGTATTGGATAATCGTATTATAAGTAACTTTATATAATACTACTGTAGCTTATAGTTAATTATTATTAAGTATATGAATTATTTACTATAACAATTAAGTAATGTCGTCGTTGTCGTGTTAAAATTTATTTCCAACCGAACCGTTTCCCGTCCATATTATTTTTGTTTTAATATTTTTATCATTAAGTGTAACTAGTAATATACATATATAGGTATATCGAATTTGTTGATTTTTTTTATATATATATTTTTTTTGTATTCGTCAAACATATTTCTACACGTTTTAACTATATACACATTTTCAATAMGCGTAATATACTTTGTGTAAATCAATCATCGTGTGCGTAAAAATAAATAATTCTAACTTCGGCGCATGCACGGTATACGTATACAACATAGTATTATGATTACGGCTGGCCAAGTGCAATTATTATTGTTATAAAACAGGTAACTTTTTATATTGTGCGTTCTTTTATCGATAGTATATAATTATTTTTATGTTATAACATATGCGTGCGACATCATATCACCTAGCCAATGTTATTATTATTGTTATCATAATATTATTATTATTATTATTATTATTGTTCATTATTACATATTTTTTTTAGCAATTTGTACATTTGCGTGTGTAAAAAAACAACCAAAAAACAATTTTAGTTAATCGATGTATACATATATACTATATAGTTTATTTAACTGTAAACACCACGTGTACACTGTACAGGTATTATGTATTATAATATTATTATTATATAGTTGTGGGAATAAATGTCGAAAAGCGAATCAGTCAGAAGAAAAAATAAACYGTCTTTGTTTTTATTCCCTCTCACACGCAGCATGAACCTGGTTACAAGAAGTATGAACCTATACCTATATACCATATTATACCGGCATCAACTACAGTTTGTCCATATAACCAGGTMGATGCGGTAATATCGATGGCTAGTCGTCTCATCCAATGAAGCTGTACACAGTCAACAAATAGCCTTTATGCATAAGTAGGTATTAATTATTATAATTTACTACAGACAAATTGAACCAACAAACTTTATACAAAACGTGCAGTGGTGGATCTACGGTTTTGTTCTAGGAGAGACTCATAATTTTCAAAACAATACTACATTTATAAAATAACACTTATAAGCGATTAGGAATTTTATATATTATTAATGATGTCATAATACGTCACATCGAAGTCTAGTTGGCTAATAAGATAAGGTGCTATACACGATTTCGGTTGACCAAATAATTAATGCTATGTATAAAGAAATCGTTGCGTCTCAAAATGAATAACACGATTCAGATCTCAGAAAGCTAAATAATAGTTTAATTAATAAACCTTTAAAGTAGTTTATAATACCTACATAAGTTTTTTCCTTACATCTCGTTATTCGTTGGTTTTAGTTCACAACTTTATGGTATCTTACACAAATAAWTAGGCCACGAGGAATAGACAATCGGCCTTAAATCTTCCAATTGACAACAGGTGATCTAATTTGTGACATGATTTTTGAAAAGCGTTTGTAATTTGCATTATTGCAGGTAGTGAAAATATGAACTGTAATTTGCACCAAAATTCGAATAGATTATTACCGTTTCGATGGTAGAGCTTAAGATATTGTGGTGATGTGTGAGAAGCTATGATAACACAGAAGAATCATCCGTTTTAAATAATATTGTGAGTGGTTATTTCACTGACCTATTCACACCTTCCTACAACGGGGTTGGTACGTTTTTATAGCTTCTTAGTTCTTATATTAACAATTAATAATGCATAAATGTATAATATGAAAAACATATTATAAAATATTTTGATAATATTGTTAATAATAATAATATATTTTGTCATTAAAATGTACAATTAATGACCCCCCCCCCAAAAAAAAAAAAAAATGAGCAAAAGCTTCTGCTTAAGGTAGATGAGTTCAAATCAATCATCCAATTAAAATATTATATTATAATACATTTAGTTAATAGTTAATAGTTTTTATCCATTTATAGATGGAATAGGTATAGAAAAATCCCAGTTACTATATAACATACAATTATAGTGTATTGTTGTTAAAATAACAAAACGAAAAAAAAMCCTATTCGATCGGAAGAAAAAATAAAATATCAACAGTCTTAGAATTTCTTGACGCGCTAAGACCAAAATACCTATTACCATAGAACAGTAATTATTAGTAATTATAATTTTAAATTATAATATAATTTATTATAATTTCAGTGATATCATAATGGTATCAATTATAAACTATCAATTATTGAAATATATGATATGAGCCATCAGCTGATTCTCAAAAATAACAAAATGGCAGTGCCCAGGAGTTCAAGGCCTCGTCCCCACTTTTTTCAAATAACATTAGGGATTTTGAGAGTGTCATATCCCTGYTATTACCGGCAGCAACTACAGCAATAGATCTGGTACCCGTGGATACCCATAACCTGGTCGATGCGAGTGTGGTCTCGTCCGTCCGAGCCGAAAATGCGCACACCGGAATAGCCGTTGTGTACAACACAATATGATGAGTGTACCTACACGTATACATCAGCAATAATATTATCGTGTGTAATACCCATCAGTGGCGTCCGCAGAGGGGGTGGTGGGGGGAACGGTCTGAAGCCCCCCCCCTCGGTTGCCTGTTTTTCGTTTTTTATATATTTACCTCKATTTAATATAGTTTCTTAAATCGCGTGTTTACCTACATATTTATTGCAAACGATGCAAACCATATTGTCCTAAACTGACTGAACTCCTAAGGTTCGTAGATAATATTTTTTATACATACCATAGTCAGTAAGTTGTAGTCATGATGCCACAGCCCATATAAATCTATAATCTATGATAACAATTGAACTGATGTTAGCAACACTATCCGTCTATCCAAGCATCGTTATTCCGATGTCCGAGTTAACCTGTTAACCTTTTTTTTTTTGGTCATGGTATCGAGGACCGGAGCGCGCGGGGACTGCAGCTTTCGCATTACATACTTCCACACCGGTCCCCATCGTTTATTGTTAAAGGAAGTTCAATACATACAATATTCAACATAGTAGACATAATATACATCGGTTATGAACTTAACGGGTGTTGACAGTCTGTAAATCTGTAATTATTTATTTTAAAGTCCCCCCCCCCATTGAAAAATCCTTCGTACGCCACTGCTGCAGTCGCGCGTTGGTGCAATATTTATCATTGTTATTATTATTATTATTATTATTATTAGTATTTCATCCCGAACACGTGGCGGA